GGTTTTCTAACTCCAGGTCTTTGCACATTTCATTATAGTAATTGGCTTTGTCTGCTTGAGCTGCTCTTTGAAATCTTCTGTTCAGCTCTTTTATCTTATCATTTCTTCCATTTGCTTTAGGTACTCTCCACTCAAGGGCAAGTTTCAGAGTCTCTTCTGTCATCCATTTTGGTCTTCTCTTCTTTTCTTGTCTTTTTAGTGATCTCTTGCTTTCTTCATGGATAATGTTCTTGATATCCTCCCACAATTCATCTGGCTTCTGGTCATTGGTGCTCAGTGCATCAAATCTCTTCTTTAGGTGGTCTCTAAATTCAGAAGGGATATAGTCAAGGTCATATTTGGGCTCTCATGGACATGTTTTAATTGTCTCTAACTTCAAGTTGAACTTGCATATGAGCAGTTGATGGTCTGTTCCACAATCAGCTCCTGGACTTCTTTTGGCTGAAGACATTGAGCTTTTCCATCGCCTCTTGCCACACATGTAGTCAATCTGATTCCTGTGTGTTCCATCTAGTGAAGTCCATGTGTAGGCACCATTTATGTTGTTGAAAAAAGGTATTTGCAATGAATAAGTTGTTGGTCTTGCAAAATTCTATCATGCGATCTCCAGCGTTATTTCTGTCCCCAAAGCCAAATTTCCCAACTACCGGTGATTCTTCTTTGTTTCCAGCTTCTGTATTCCAGTCACCAGTGATAAGCAACACATCCTGATTGCATGTTCAGTCAATTTCACACTGCTGAAGTTGATAAAAATCTTCAATTTCCTCATCTTTGGCTCTGGTGGTTGGTGCATAAATTTGAATAATAGTCGTATTAACAGGTCTTCCTTGTAGGTGTATGGATATTATCCTATCATTGACATCATTGTATTTCAGGACAGATCTTGAAACATCCTTTGTGATGATGAATGCCATGCCATTCCTCTTCAGTTTGTCATTGCTGGCATAGATCATATGGTTGTCTGATTCAAAATGCCCCACACCCGTCCATTTCAGCTCACTGATGCCTAGGATATCAATCTTTATGTGTTCAATTTCATTTTTGACGAGTTCCAATTTTCCTAGAGTCATACTTTGTACATTCCATGTTCCTGTTATTAATGGATGTTTGTAGCTGTTTCTCCTCAATTTGAGTTGTGCCATGTCAGTTCATGGTGGTCCTGAAAGACTTACTTTATCTGTATCATTAAGATTGGTTCTACCCTGATGAGGCAGCTCCTTTCCAGTCCTATTTTGAGTGCCTTCCGACCCAAGGGGCTCGTCTTCCTGCACTGTGTTGGACAGTGTTTCCGAGCTGTTCATAAAGTTGCTTAGTAATGTATCAGGCAGTGTTGCTCTGCTATTCATAAGGTTTTTCCTGGCCAATTCTTTGAGAAGTGGATGGATGGCTTCTTCCTTCTACCTAGTCTGTCTTAGTCTGTAAGCTCTTGGAACCTGTGTATCATGTGCAACTCTGCTGGAGTCTGAAACACCAGTGGCTCAGCCTCAAGCCTCATAGCAACATACAAGCCCCACAGGATCACAGACTGACAGACAAGTTTGTTTCTCTTAGCTGTTGGAAACCTCAGCGCCCTCCCCTTCCCTCATTCCTACCTGGAACCTGCCACTTTGCAGTCCTTGGCCGCTGCCTCCCTTTCCTGACTCTAGGGGGCTTGGGGCCTAGCCTTCCCTCCCACCCCTTTTTACCTGAATATCCTGCTGCTCTGCAGGTCCCTGGCCTCTCCTGCTCCCTTCCTTTCCTGGCTCTAGGGTGCTTCTGTGCTATCATATTATTTCCCATCCTCTTTGTGCTCATGAGTTTATAACTTTTAAACTTCATTTTGCTATACTTTTCATGAGGGTTCACAAAGAAATAAAAGAGAAAATGTACTATAAACCTGACCTTAAAGAATTCATCCATTCAATCATTTGGATGGCATAATTGCTCTTCTTGGGCTCAGCATTCTTCTTGCTGCTGCAGATACAGTAGTGCACAAAACAGACAAACATTCCTGCCCTAATGGTGTTTAAATGGTAGTAGTGAAGACAGGTTGGGCACTCCTACTTCCGTAGCGATACTGCCTCAGAAACCCAAGGAGGGGTCGCTATGAGTCGGGGCCGACTCAACGGCACATAACAACAACAACAGTGAAGACAGACACTGATCAAGATAAATAAGTAAATGTTTGGTTAAATCGTGGTAAGTGTCAAGGAGAAGAATAAAAGAGACCTGGGGTTGGCAGCATTGTGTGGAGAGTTGTAATCATTTTAGGCTGGTGGCCATGGATAGCATCATCGAGAAGGAGCCATATGCGTAAAAGACCTTTAGACGTGAGGGAACAGATCATGTAGAAATTTGAAGAGAGAGTATTATGGGCTGAGGGAGGAGCCAGTGTGCCCAACATGTTGGAGGAACAGCAGGGAGAACCAGTGTGGCCAGATCACACTTTAAGGACTGGCCTTTCTTCTGAATGAGTGGAGGCATGATACCACCTAACAAATGTTACTTACAACAGAGCTGCTCTGGCTGCTGTGTTGTGTGTAGCCTGTAGTGGGGAAGGGCTGAGATAAGAGGACCAGTTAGAAGGCTGCTGAAATAGTCCAAGCCACATGGAAATAGCAAGGGGTCGGAGTTTGGGTTTGTTGGGGGATTGGGATGTGGGATGTGGGGTGTGCGAGAGAAGTAGCCAAGACTATTTCAATTTTAAGGCTCATGGCTCCTGTGAACTTTTGAAACTGTAGAGTTTTGGTCTCAGTGTAATTAGTATCCAGAATGTTAATGTGAATACTTTGCTAAAGAATAATTGAAGAGATATTTTAAGTAACTTTGCCCTGTAAACCATAATTATTCTTTTTTAAAGCTCTTCACAGAATATGGTCGTCTGGCAATGGATGAAATTTCCCAAAAACCCTTCCAGGTAAAATGTTAATTATGAAAATAATTCATACCTTTACTTCAGTTCAGAGATCAAACTAAAAATGGTTTTTACATGAGCTAAAAGTGGTTTTTACATTTTTAAATAATTAAAGAAAAATCAAAAGAAGGAGATATTGTAAAGAAATGATATGAAATTCCAATGCCAGTGTTCATAACTCCAGTTGTATCGGAGAACAGCCATGCTCGTTTGTTTGTGTTTATGAGTGCTTTTCTGCTACATCTGAGGCCAGTAGTTATGACAGACCATGTGGCCTGCAAAGTCTGAAGCCCTTCCGCTAACCTTCAGCCTTACAGAAAGGGTTTGCTGCCTGAGTCAGGTGATCGTTTCAGAGGAGGGAACCGTCGTGACCTCAGGAAGGTCAGAGGTGCTTTTGGTGTGTGTGCATCAGTGAACTGAATTTTCTTTCTCTTTCTGAGCTTATGATCAGCTAGTGCCCTGCTCTTTCTCTCTCGCTCTCTCCACATTTCCCATCCATGCCGTGAGGACAGCGCTCTGAGTGAGCATTTGCTCCTCAGTCTAGGCCTTCTGTTGCTGTCAGCCTGTGAGAGCAAACCTAGCAGGTGGACTCCATTGACCTCACTTCTGGCTCACACACCTCCTACTGTCGATAAGGCCTCTAAGACCTTACAGGGGAGATAAGCTCCTGAGCACATTTCCTCGCTCCCTTTGATGAAGCCCTGGTGTTAGGCATAGACTGATTGGAACTGTTTTCTTGAAAATGCATCTATTCAACATTATAACATGTTCTGTTTCTCTAAATAGACACTGATGTTTTTGGTTAGAGACTGGAGTTTCCCTTATGAGTACAACTACGGACTACAAGGAGGAATGGCGTTTTTGGATAAGCGTCTCCAGGTAAATAGGAATATAACCGTCGGGGGAATTACCCAGAATTAGGTGGTATCATTCTCATTAGCCTTCAGCTATTGTATTTTAAGCAGATTATTGTAAATTATATTAAATGTGTTAACTACTAATACAGAATCTTTGTTGTTGTTAGGTGCCATTGAGTCAGCTCTGACTCATAGTGACCCTATGTACAACAGAACAAAACACTGCCCAGTCCTGTGCCAACCTCACAATCCTTGCTATACCTGAGCCCATCATTGTAGCCAAGTACAGAGTTTTGGCATAAACTAATATTTATTCATGGATAAGTTTTTGGGTATATAATGCGTAGGGATTGAATAGGAGAATTCTAGGCAAAAGCCCAAGCATGGGTTGTAATTTCCATTTCACGTTTTATACCAGGTTCTATATGTGTCTTTAGAGTGTCACTCAGAAGTTAGCTGTATTGTTTTGTATTCACAACTCTTATTTGTTTTGTGAGGGATATAAACAAGCCTAGCCTGTTCTCTAAAACTAAACACAGGAGCTCTTTGTCAGTCATTGCTATCTGATTAGGCTCTCCTTCATGATCACAAACCTTCCCTTGTTCTTCCTAAGTATTGTGCAATATTCTGTTTTAGAAATGCTTTAGTACCTGCTCTTTGTTAGCAAAAGGAGCCAAACCATGGTTGGTCCAGTTGATGAGTGTGTTGCTTCTTTCAGGTTCTAAGTTTTCTCATTGGATGAAACATAGGCCACTATGATCCATCCGTGTTGAGAAATTTTCTTTTCTTTGTCCCATGTAAGTGGTTCCTAGTGAAGGAAGAGAAACGGTCATTGGAAAATTGTTGGTCTTCGTTGGCAGGTGAAGGAACATCAGCACGAGGAAATCCAGAACGTGCGCAATCACATTCACTCCTGTTTCTCCAGCGTCAGCTGTTTTCTCCTGCCGCATCCGGGACTCCAGGTGGCCACAAGCCCTGACTTTGATGGAAAACTGAAAGGTATGTTGCAGATACTGTTAGAAACATGGGATTTCATCTTTGGGATGAAGTAATGGCCAGAAAATGCCAATTTTGAATCTAGTGAATGCTTAAGAGCAATAGTGTGGTCTCTTAGAACAGCTTTTGGAATCTAGTTTGGTTTTGCTCTTGCCTTAATTACTGTCGCCATCAGAATTAGTTCATCTCATATCTCTGTCTGAAATGTTCATGGTAATATCCATTAATGTTCATCCTCAGAGACAGGATTATTGGTTTATAAAGGTAAAATATGCTAAGTAAGTCTAAACAAAAGCAAACACTTGTCCAGTGAAGTGAACTCCCTGAGGAATGGTGACAGGATGATGCATTGGCATAACTGTTGTTTTCCTTTCTGTGTGATTATAGCTTAGCCTGATGCTGGGTCATGTGCTGATACCAGGAAGTACTGACTAGATGGTAGAATATAGGAATAACAGTTGGGACTCTTGAATTCCATTGCCTTTTTTGTTCTTAATCAAGATCTTAAGCCATTTATTGCCTGGCCCACAGTTATCTGAGCTTCTTGTGTTCCCAGTAAAATAGTCATAATAATTAGCTGCCATTTTTAGAGGTCCAGCTGAGTTGCCAATACTTTTAGGAATTTATCCTAAGGAACCATCCGAGTAAGTGGATGAAATGTATGTACCAGGAAGTATATTACTGCAGCATTTATGATAGGGAACAGTTGGAAACATCCCAGAAAGTGTGCTTATGAGATATTAGTTAAATTATGGTACATATGCATAAACGGATAAAACACAGTCATTAAAGGTTAAGATAGATAGATAGATGAATTATGTATTTACATGGCAGTATGTTCATAATGTATTTTTAAAAATGTAAAAAGATTACCAAATAGTATATTGTGTGAGCCTGTTTATTTAAAAAATGTATAAGTATGCTTTTATTTATTTTTTATATTTTATTGTGCTTTATGTGGAGGTTTACGTAGCACATTAGTGTTCCAGTCAGTAGTTCATACACAGAGGGTTTTATGACATTGGTTACAATCCCTGCAATGGGTCAGCACTCTTCTTCTTTCCTCTCTGGGTTCCCTCTTTGGTTTTGGGCACATGTTACCCTTTTGTCTGGATTAGTTGATTGTTCTAGGGAGCACAGCTTCAGGAGTGGTGATGTTTGTGTTATGGTCCCGTCTCTGGCTGTACGTGGCCTCTGGAGGGTCTTCAATTTCAAGTTAGAACGTTGTCTCAGGGCTGTAGTCTCGGAAGTTCCTCTGGTCTCTTTCAGTCCAGTAAGTCTGGTCTTTTTTTTTTTTTTGTCTTTGAATTTTGCTCTTCATATCTTTCCCATTCAAACTGTGACCTTCTCTTGTGCTCTTGGTCAGAGCGATCGGTGGTGGTAGCTGGGTACCATGTAGTTCTGGTGTCAGGTTAGAGGAGGCTGTGGTTCATGTGGGGTGTTGTTGTGTGCTGTTGAGTGCCTAAGGCATTTGACTGCTAACCACCAGGCTGGCAGTTTAAACCCACCAGCATTCCTCAGAAGAAGACCGGGCAGTCTGCTTCCGTAGAGATACCGCCTCGGAAACCCAAGGAAAAGGGGTCGCTGTGAGTCGAATCGACTCGACAGCAGAGAGTGTGGTGTTTGGTTTTCAACAATGTTAATAGGCTGCCCTTGTGTGCCTGTCTGAGGAGCTACCGCTGTTATGAGGATTGCTGGTGACAAATTCTCATTGGCTCTGGAAGGTTTATGGACTTTTAAACTTTGAAGAGGGATGTTTTGTAGTTTTAGAGAACCTTTTAAGTAAGATTTTGAAGATTTTTCAGCAAAGAGTCAGTTGGATGCTTAGTTGCAAATAGCAGGTCACTTGGGAGTATGTGAGAGGTACTTAATATAGAACCACACAAATGCTGTTGTGGGGGCCTATAACAAGAACTGATGTATTTCTCAGAGTTAAAAAAACCTAAAAAACCTAGACCTTGTATTTTCTCAAGTATGTACTTGTACTGATACTTGTTGATATCCATATGCTGTGGAAAACACAGTATCTTCAGAAAGTTCAGGACTAATCTGTAGAAAGTCCTCACTGTAGTTTCTGTACAGCACAACCATTGCTGTGGAGTCGGACCCAACTCATAGCGACCCCTCCTTGGGTTTCCAAGGTGGTATCACTATGGAAGTAGATTGCCCAACCTTCCGAGGAGTGGCTGGCGTGGTGAGAACTAAATCTGGAGCTTATGTTGCCCCAAAGAGTTCAGGAATTATTTTACTGGGTTGGTTTGTTTAGTTTATTTAAAGGTTGACCGTTTTTCAGGTGAGCACTCGCCATTCATGCTGATCTTAATTTTTGTGTAATCATTGCTGAGCTGCTGCTGAAATACTTAGCTAGATGGCTAGCTGCTGTTTGAGACCCTTTTCATCAGATACAGGGTGGCTGTGTCAGCAGCATAGAGAAAATGGTGTTTCCTGTTTGCTCCAGCAGGGAGTCCTGACACAGTAACTACGGAGTTGGCCAGCTAGGACTTCAAACAGAAGGGTTTGTAGTGCCCAGTCTTCTTTGACACTGTAAAAGAACGAAACTGTTTATTTCATGAGACAGGCTCCCCAGGCAGCCTGTATCCAGTGATTTGCTGAGACAGGGGTATAAGGCCCAGCCTCCTAGCCCCAACTCGGGACAACTCTCAAGGGCCGTTCCCGCTTCAGAGCACTCTCTGGGGTTAGCAGAGGCTTATTTTTATTGGATCTTAGCTCAACGGCTTTTTCTTCCCAGTTTGGCTTCCTTTATTCTCCCATGAGTGTTACTCCTCAGTAAACTTCCTCACACAGATCTTCATTCCATCCTGTTTCCTGGGAGACCTGACCTCCAATAATACGAAATTTTTTATTTTAACAAAATTTTCATTTCTTAAATTTTTAAAAAAATATTTTTGCAGTGTTCTCTCCCTTCCCCTCCCGTCCCAGCCCTGGTAACCAACAAAGAAAGTTTCCTTCCATATATAAACCTTTCCTTGACTTTTTATAATTAAAAAAAAAAAACAAAAACAAAAAGCCAAACTCATTACTGTCAAGTTGGTTCCAACTTATAGCGAGCCCTCCTTGGGTTTCGGAGGCAGTATCTCTACCGAAGTAGATTGCCCAGTCTTCCTTCCGAGGAGTGGCTGGTGGGTTTGAACCGCCAGCCTTCTGGTTAGCAGTCATATGCCTTGGGCACTACGCCACCAGAGCTCCTTTTACAATAATGAACTAATACTATATTTGTCCTTCTGTGATTGACTTATTTCACTCAGCATAATGTCCTCCAAGTTCATCCACATTATGCAGTATTTTGCAGATTCTACATTATTCTTTAGGGTTGCATAGTACTCCATTGTATCTGTGTACCATAGTTTGGTTATCCATTCTTCTGTCCATGGGCACCTAGGTTGTTTCCGTCTTTTTGCTATTGTAAATACTGCTGCGATGAACATGGGTATGCATATCTCTGTTCTTGTCCTGGTTCTCACTTCTTTTGGATATATACCTAGTAATGGGAATATGGAATCAAATGGTATTTCTAATTGCAACTTTTTAGGGAATTGCCATATTGCTTTCCACTCATTTGTTAAAATTTTGTTTCTGTTTTAGATATGTTGATTTTTTCCGGATAGACTGACTCATTGTCTGCTTGTTTTTGTGGTTCCATCTTCTAAGACCTGCCTGATAATTTCAGTATCTAAAGCCCTTGGGGTCTAACACTGTGTGTTTTCCTGTTTACTCTCATTGACAGTGGGTTGTTTCCTGGTATAGATGGTGGTTATGGAGCTCATATTTGGCTGATCTCAGCCTGTGGAAAAGCTGAGGACATGGGATTAAGGCTGCTTCCCTTGAAGGGGTTTGTATTTGCTCTTGCAGAGAGTTGGGGGCTTACTAACCTGGGACCACTGCAGCCACCTTTCAGGATCCAGCTTAGTTGAGGGGTTAATGTAGCCCAAAGTTCAGTCTCCCCTTTCCATGGGTGTCCTCAAACCAGCTGCAGCTTCACGTGAACTTAGCTCTCTGGCTTTACCACACTGGTTTTCCTCTGAAAACACCAGCAGTGAGTTTTCTGTGTTAGTCCTAGCTAAATCACAGAACAATTATTTTTCTAAGTTTTCAAGTTTTGCCTATAAATCAAGCTAACTGAGACAGTGAATATAGTCAAGGAAAAAGACAGTAGAAAACAGACACGATCAGTTCCATGGCTTCTGATTTTGTCTTGACTGTACTCATTGTTGGCAGTAAATAGTACAGAATTGTATGAAGTAGAGTCCTCGTGGCCCGTGCTGCTTCCCTGCCTGCCTCCCTCCTCTTGTACACTCCTTAGTGGTAACTGCTGTTGGCAGAACAGACGTACAGTTCCTGGATACCATGGGGTTTAGGGGCTCTGAACCCCCCATGCAGTCGAAAATCCACATGTAACTTTTGATTCTCCAGAAAGTTAACTACTGATAGCCTAGTGTTGACCAGAAGCCTTATAGATAATATAACCAGCCAATTAACACAGTTCATGCTGCGTAGCTGTCGGATACATACATACACAACAGATAAGTTTATTAACTGTGGCATGATTATTTACTGTTAATTAAGTGGAAGCGGATCATCACAAAGGTCTTCATCCTCGTTGTCTTCACATTCAGTAGGCTGAGAAGAAGAGGAGGAGGAGGAGATGGGGTTGGTTGTGCAGTCTCAGGTGGCAGAGGTGGAAGAAGAGGAGGTGGGAGGGAAGGCAAGTAGAGGCAGCCATACTTGGTGTAACTTTATGGAAACTTATTGTTCTTTCTGTCTGACTCTTGCTTTTTCCCTTCTCTAAAATTGTTTCTATATGGTACCAATATTTCTTGCACTGTTTGCTTTAGTCTCGGTGCCCATAAATAGAAGAGCGTCCACCTTGTAAAGGAAGTCAGAAGCAGTCGTGAATAATTGGAACCCATCTGTCAGATTGTCTAATGTCAATTTGTTTTCTGGCACTGCTGCTTTTATGTCTTCCTCCTCATTGTCTGGCACTG